GATTATGATTATGATTTAATTTTTGGTATTCCTGACAGGGCTGTGGATGCTGAAGTTCATGCGAATGATAATCATCACTCTGAATCTTCGAAGTACAATGATGACTTGGAAATTACTCAAAACATCGAAGATGTTAATTCAACAACGAATTCTCTTGGACATGGCGAAAGTATGCTTGATAATCCAGTGGAGGGGGAGCACTTGGATTCGAATACTCTGGTTGAGGGGGAGCATTCTTTTGAGGGGGAGAATGGGAGAATGAATGATGTTGTTGAGGGGGAGCATATCGTTGAGGGGGAGCATCTAAATGATAATAAGGATGAGGAAGAAAATGAAACAATAAATTTTGATCAAAATGATGATTTTCATGATCTAAATGATAATGTTTCTATTGTAGGATCTGAAAATGAAGAGATGTACGAAGATGCGTCTTTGCAATTTGATCCGGCTTATCCACCGTTAGAGAAATGGACAAAGACTCATCCAATAGATCAAGTCATTGGAAATCCTCAAGATGGAGTATTAACAAGAGCTCAGATTCGTGCGAAGAATGAGGTATTAAATACTCATCAAGAATTTTCCATGTTCAATGTTTTCATATCTAAAATTGAACCAAAGACAGTTAAGATGGCAATGGAACACTCGGATTGGGTTGTTGCAATGCAATTAGAACTGGCTGAATTTGAAAGAAACAAGGTTTGGAGATTAATTCCTAAACCTGAAAATGCTTCGATTGTCGGGTTAAAATGGATTTTCAAAAACAAAACCGACAAAGATGGAAATATTGTACGAAATAAAGCATGTTTAGTTGTAAAAGGATATTCGCAACCAGAAGGAATTTATTATGAAGAAACCTTTGCCCCTGTTGCAAGACTCGAGTCTGTTCGAATATTCTTAGCATGTGCAGCTCATAAGGATTTTGATGTCTATCAAATGGATGTGAAATGTGCCTTTCTCAATGGAGAACTCGAAGAAACTGTTTACGTCGAACAACCTCTAGGTTTCGTAAATGAAATGCATCCTGATCATGTATATATTTTAGATAAAGCAGTGTATGGGTTAAAACAAGCACCAAGAGCATGGTATGCAACTCTTACCAGTTTCTTAAAACAGTCAAAATTTAAGCAAGGATCAGTTGACCCTACATTATTTCGAAAGAAAGTTGGATGTCATCTGATGCTTGTTCAAATTTATGTTGACGATATTATTTTTGGCTCTACTGACCCTGCTTTGTCTAGAGAATTCGAAAACTTGATGAAAAGCCAATTCGAAATGAGCATGATGGGTAAAATCAATAATTTTGTAGGCTTAAACATATGTCAAAACAGAGAAGGCATATTCATCAATCAAGAGAAATATACAAGGAATTTGCTCGAAAAGTTTAGAATGACAAATAGCACGAAGTTAAGAGTACCAATGGCTGTTGGCACAAGGCTAACACCTTCGTTAGAATCGCCTGCGGTTGATCTTACTTTATACAGAAGCATGATAGGCTCATTACTTTATCTTACTGCAAGTAGACCTGATATCATGTTTTCTGTATGTAATTGTGCTAGGTATCAAGAAAATCCTCGAGAACCACATTTAACAATTGTGAAGAATATCTTTCGTTATCTCAAGGGAACAATTTCGTTAGGATTGTGGTATCCTTCGAAAACAGGATTTTTCATTCAGGCATTTTCAGATGCAGATCTAGGAGGGTGTACATTGGATCGAAAAAGTACAAGTGGTGGTTGTCAATTTTTGGATGGAAAGTTGCTTAGTTGGCAGTCAAAGAAGCAAACGTGTGTTTCGATTTCTACTACTGAAGCCAAATATGTAGCAGCTGCTACTTGTACATCACAAATTATTTGGATTCAAAGTCAGTTGAGGGATTATGCAGTGAATATGAAAAAGATTCCATTGTACTGTGATTCTCAAAGTGCTATATGCATTTGTCATAATCCAGTACAACATTCGAAAACTAAACATATAGCTCTTCGTTATCACTCTATCAAAGATCATGTGGAAGATGGAAACATTGAAGTTCATTTTGTAAAAACAACTGATCAGCTTGCTGATATTTTTACAAAAGCTTTGGATGAAAAATCATTTCTTCGAATTTTGACAGGTTTGGGAATGATCAAAGCAAATTCTGTTCCAGGACGAATTTCGAATGTATAGCAAAGGCGTGCTATACAAATGTGTCGATTCAGAGGCAAAAAGACGATATTCAGCGGTTACTGTTCATAGTCAACGCTTCGACACGCTTCGAATTCGACAATTTGCATGATATTTTGTGTGGTACACAATTTTCGTTAGTTTGTTAATATTTTCGTAAGGTTGACAAATTTTCGTTCGTTTGTCATATTTTCGTAAGCTTGGCAAATTGTAGATTGTTTAAAAATTTTCGTGTGTTTGTAAAAGTGTTTTTCGTAAATTTGGTTCTTAGTTTTCTTTTCGAAAAATGAAAAACTACAAAAAGATTTTCTTTTCGTTTTGTTGTTATCTTTTCGAAAAATCAAAACTCCAAAAAGATTTTATTTTGTTAATTGTTTCATTTTTCGTAAACATTCACAAAAACTCAAAAATATTATTTTAAGAAAAAAACAAAAAATCAAAAATATCAAAAAGATTTTTGTTATTCTCCTTGTTTCTTTTTCATTTTGCAGATAACACGAACATTTTTTCAAGGGTCATGCTTATGTTTCTATGGGAAGGTAAACTTTCGTCAACTATGTACTAGTTAGGTTGTCCCTAGAAGCATGCTGCAGCATGTTGACCCAAGCCTCTGTAGACTTAATGTGTGTTTACGAAAGCCTTAATGAAAATTTTCATACAAAAATTTCTTCCCAAGTCAGGCTTACATTCACATTAGTCGATTGAGCTACCTTACTCTTCTCTTATGAGTTAAGAGTTATCTGTTTTGTCCGAATATAACAGAGGTACAATTCGTTTCTCAAAACCAATCTTTTTTTTATCACAAAGTTCTTACACATTTCACACACAATGACATATGTCCGAGAGGTCATTGATCAAACCAATCACGACTTAGGCATATCAAAAGTCTGTGTTTATGATCTAACGTCATGAGACCGTGATGAAAGTGAAACCCAAAACTCTACTTTCGTAAGGAATTGACGGGGAACCAAGTTCCAGATTTGACGAAACATTTGTTGCAGTACCATTTTTCGAAACTCAAAATCATATTTTATTCTTATGCGTGATCTTGATCAAACTATCGAAACCCACGACGTTTGTTACCCAACAGGATCCAGAACAAATATTTTTTTATGAATATGATTTCTGTATGAGTTTCATTTGCTTTCAAAGTTACTATCAACATATTTCAAAGCATACTTGTCACTGAATACAATGGTCAAACAAGTAATTTCTGTTACAATTCCTCACCTTATGTTTAGGATGATATGTAACGAAATTTTAAACCACCCACTCAGCCTAACAAAAGAAGCCCTTCGATACTTCTCTACAAGTATTCGATTGTAATTCACGGGATCATATACAAGCAGTTGATTATCTCTCTTGATAATTAATGAAGTAACCTTTGCCCGGGGTTTCTCTGCTTTTGTGTCGAAATTTTTGACATCACAGATCCAAATTTTTGTTAATTTGTTTCTTATCTTTTCTTTGGCACATAGCACACACGAAATCCTTGAGGTTCTGAGTAATACCAACTCAGGTTGATGATTTCGACAGTCTAGTAAATGACTTCGTCTCTAAACCCAAAGACGAAAGAGCTTAACCTCCATCCGAAGGTTGCTGACGGTTACTATTCCTTGACGAGACACGAACAGACCGTGTGAGGAGACGATTCCTGGTTTCAAGGTGATGTGACAGTTACTTTTTGACGCATGGCGACTTTATTGGCAGACTGGTGCGACTTTTAAGGTGCCACGTCAGATCTCAATCAATGCCTATCCCGCGTTCAATTCAAATTAAGGGTTACATATAAAAAGGGCATTTACGGGTTCTTTATCTTTTTACGCACACAAAAGAATTCAAATACCCAAATTCTCTCTGTTCTTCAAAGCTTCTAAACCCTAATCATGGCCGGCGTTGATTCTACTTCTCGAACAACTGAAGACATCACTTCTCAACCGCTCATGAAGATTCAAAGCACAAATTATCAAGTGGAAGCAGATGTGTCTTTGTATCTAGAAGAATTGAAGATGCTAATTGTTGCCTTGAAGAGTTCTGTTCTTTCAAAGGTGATGTTCAATTCTTTCTCAGTTCCTCTCTCATGGCTTTCTCAGGCTGGATCCACTGCTACATACAGCAAAGCAATGGATGTCATCACCTTTCAAATGGTGAATGACAAGAAGATCAGACTGTCCAAGAAAATCTTTTGTCAGATACTGGATATTCCTAATTCACCAATTGTTACTGATCTCACGTCTGCTCAAGTTATTCATATGTTCAATGAGATGGGTCATCAACCTCCACTCACGAAGATTAGTGATTTCAAGAAGTCAACTTTGCTAACGGTCTGGAATTTCTTGTTTGGAATCTTTCTTCGATGCTTGACAGGTCGAAGCTTTGGCTTAGACAAAGGTCGCATGGAAGTTTATGCGATGGTGGCTGGATTATACTATGATATCTCTGTCGATTACTCTACTCAACTGTGGAAGGAATTCCAAAAGAGTGTTGAAAACACGAATGTGGTTCAAGGCATTTCGTGTGCAAGGTATTGGAGCTTAATACTTGGTTATTTTAATGACAAGGAAGGAATTGCTGTTCCTGATAATGAAGAAAAGGCCGAGTTTTTGAAATATCACTTTCCAAAAGAAGTTTCAGATGATATGGAAGTTTTTACTCATATTGCTCGGATTCCTGATGCGATGTTAAAGAGGGTCGAGCCAACAAATTCAGTGTTGGTTCAATATTTGACAAATATCAATCTGGATGTTGAAACTGGCAGGTTATTGTCGAAAGAAGAAGCTGGTCCTTCGAAGAAATCTAAACGTTCTAAAAAGGATGTAAAGAATACACCAGAGAAGACAATGCATGAATCAAATAAGTCTCCTGAAAAGATTGTGCACGAATCTACGAAATCTCCGAAAAAGCTTGAGACAGCTGCAGTGGTTGTTTCGACTGCTATTATCAAACTAGTGGAACCTGTTGATGATACTGTGGTGGCAGAGAAACTTCCTTCTAAATCTGGTGTTTTTCTTCGTTTGAAGAAAAGGTCTAGGGGTTCCAGAAAATCTTCTGATGTTGGATCAAAATTTTCTCCTTCTAATGTTCGTAAACCACAACTCTCTCATCAAGGAGTTATTTTCCGAGAGGTTCCAGTTCCAGTATCACCTCTATCCAAGAAACGAAGAGCTGAAGATGTGGCCAACCATATTTCAAAGAAGAAGAAAAGACAAAGAAAGTTGGTTATTCAAGACCCATCTTCAGAAGAAGAAATTGTTCCTGAAATGCCAGAACCTGTTGTTTCACAATCTCTATCTACTCATGAGAAGACAATAGTCATACCACCCGAAGTTTCGTTAACTGAATCACATGTTGAGGAGGTTCGAACTTCAGGCATTATTTCACACGTATCTGATACGGATGTCAATGTCAACATGGGTGAGGGAGAGTCGAACAAAAAAGTTGAGGCTACTACTCAAGGTATTCCTGTATCTTCAATGGTAGATACTTTCGTGTCCTTACCTCCTTTTCTTATTCCAAATACTACAAATTCTCCAACTTTTGAGAACATTCTTCATCAACCATTTACAACTCTTTTTCCATCTCAATCGACTGATTCACCAAAGATTGATTCGCCTATTAAAACTTCACCTATTGTTGAAGCTGATACTAATAATGAAGGTTTGGAGGTGCCTTTGAAGATTTACAGTTTGATGATGAAGAAGATCATTTCCCTGATCATATATTAATGACGATGAAACTGTTCAAGATTCTTAATCAGAAGTTGAATTCTATTCTTCAATCTCAAGCGGATTTGGGGAGTAATTCGTCTGTAACTCATCTGGACGTGGATAATATGCTGAAAACATTCGAAGGAAAAGTGGTAAGTAAAGTCTCTGGAATGGTACGAGATTCAGAGATTCGTTTGTTGGAAAGGATTGATCACAATGATCAAAATGATGAATTACGAGTTAATTCCCTCAATTCAATGTTCAAAGAGGAAGTGAAAGAATTCAAGAATGTGGTGAAGGAACGACATGTATTATTCGTTCAGGATGTCAAGAAGGTGAGGGAAGATGTAAATCTGCAAATCCAAGAACTTTGACAGGATATGCAAAAAGAAATCTTCATCGTACAACGTGATTATGCTTCGATCAATCAGAAAATTGACATTATTTGTGATGCTGTTACCAAATATGTCAAGCTGTACGAAGATTTGAGTCCTCAACTTACTCAATTGTCGACTACCGAAAATCAAAGCTTTGTAGAAGTGCTCAATTCGTTGAAGGAGCTCAAGGATTTAACTGTTAAATCAGTTTCATCTCCATTGATCACTCCGGACTTTTTGTCTCAAAAGTTCGTTCATTTTGAAGCGATCTTGCGAAAACAACTTGCTCCACTTTCTCATATTTCTAGCCTTCTTCCGAAGAATGCCCCACCTGTTTTCATAGGGGTGCAAGGGGGAGAAAAGGATGTTGGTAGTACGAAGGCTAGTGGGGAAGGTTTGCATGTAGATGCAAAGGTTGTTGGAAAATTTTTTTCTTCGAAGATTCCAACAACAAAACCATTTGTGTCAACTGCTGAGCCAGTTATTTCGACTGTTGTAACAACAATGCCAGTGACAACGAAACCAATTTCAAAATCAATTTCCAAAGGAATTGTGATTGGAGAAGGAGGCAGCAGTTCGAAGCCTAAGGAAAGTGTTGATAATTCCTCTGTAAACGACAAAGGCAAAACTGTTATGGTCGAAAAGTCAAAGGAAGAAAAGAAAGCTGAAGCGGAGGCTGAGGTTGAAAAGCTCCGAATTGTACAAAGTATTATGCGACTTCGTGCAAATGATCCACCTAGGATGAACAAGGGTGATCCTTCAAAGCATTACAATTATGAAACAATAGAGTCGAAAGTAGCATATAATCATATGTATGCTTTCGAAAAGAAGCCAAAGAAGAGTTATGTTGTTCTTAACACAGATATGAGTCAATTGGACTTTCCCATCAATGAAATGATGTTCATTATGGCTCAGTATAAAATTGCTGAGAAATTTGACAATGATGATGACTACACTTACATGAAGATCAGATATTATGTTGTACTTGGAAAGCTTCCAGAAGAGATTTGGTCACTGACGAAGATAAAGAAGGTGATAAGCATAAAGCGAGATGTGTTGTTCGAAAATATGATGCAGAATCTTCGCTTTATTGTATCAAGAGCAAATGGGCAAGTGTGTGATTTCTCAGTGGCATATTTTCCTCTAATGAACTTGTATGATTTGATACAAGTTGCATTGTTATTAAAGGATAAAGACGCTTCATATCTTCGAGAAACTGATCCAGAAGTTTTTCGACTTGGGTTGGCTCACATCAAGATTTTCATTGATAACTATTATGAGTGTTTAGCACTTACTGATGTTGAGTTAGCTACAGCAAAGGGATTGACGGTAAAAGTGCCAATGGAACTTCCTTTAACTCAACCTGAGTTGAAGAAGTATGCTGATGGAGAAATATGTTTGAAACCATTTGGTAGGGTATTTGCTGGGAAAGATAAAATTGGGAAGGCAAAAAGATTCTTGTTTCAAGCTTCAGAAGTGGAAAGATATACAACATCCCAATATACGAATTTCATTGTTCATATGAATAGCTGCAAGAAGAATAATGAAGGAGACAAGAAGGAGCTGAAGAAGATAATCTCTTGGTACATTGAGATTCGAAGAGTTATGCTGTATGCTATACAGATTCTCTTGAACTAACGAAGGACGACATTATTACAAAGGGGGAGATTGTTAGGGTCGAAATATATTGTAATATGTTGAAGTCTGTTTTACCCTTCGTATGTTTTGTAATTTTATTTACTGAGGTGTATTTCGTATGAAGCTTAATTGTCAATGCCTTAGTATTTTTTGTATGCTTTCACTGTTCCTATAAATAGGGAACTTTACTAGAGTTGGATAGGAGTCTTTATAGAATCTGTCTATTTTCTCTGTAAAAGCTGAAAGCATAAATGAGCAGAAACCAGATCTTATTTACATCTTGTGTTCAATTTGCATTCATTCTACTCTGATTTTGATTAATACTTGATTCCACGATTCATCAGGTACTGCTGTCGTGGCTGCATAATTGGTTGCCACTTGTCTTTTCTCAGATGATTGTTTGGGATTCTTCCTATTAAACTTGCGCTTGTTTGTTCTAGATTTGGGAGACTCGGCCTTTGAGACCACTTCTGTTCCTTGGATCTCTGCGAGGGTTAGCTGATGAGCTATTCTCTTGGTGCTGTCATAGGTCATAGGCTTTGATGTGATCACAATGCCTTTGATTTGCGATGCTAAACCCCAGATATATCCCTCAATCTTCTTATATTCAGGGGTTACAAGTGCTGGACACATTACTGCAAGATCAGTAAATCTAGCGGTATAAGCTTTTATCTCTGAACCCTTCATGGTTAGGGTCCACAATTCTTGTTCCATTTTATGTATCTCCTCCCTAGGACAATACTCTTCTACTAGATCATTTTTAGCTCTTCCCATTTCATGGAATTTGCAGTATCAATTCCCATTGTATTTACATGGCTGTTCCACCATGTAAGTGTTGCATCAGCGAAAGTACATGCTGCAAATCGTACTTTACAATCATCTGGACAGAAGCTTATTTGAAAGATGGACTCTGTCTTTTCTATCCACCTAGTCAAATTAACTACCCCTTCATTTCCATGAAAGCTTTTTGGCCTGCAATTCATAAAATCTTTGTAGGTACACGTTCTAGCGGTCCCTACATGGCCTTCATTTCTAACTCTATCTCTTGTGACATTAGATAGAGCCGCAACAATTCTCTGAGCTATTATTTCTTCAAGTTGTGTTGTACCTATTGGGGGGTCTGGTTCTGGTGGTTGTTGTTGTGGTGCTGATCGTCGGTAAGGGTTTAGCCGAGCACTACTCCTTCTAGGCATTTTGTTTTAGTTCCTGTTATAAATAATAAGAATTTTATAAGTTTCATGAAGAATTAGTCATTTACTACACGAGTACTAAATACTTCAATTATTCTTCAAAGTGTAAAACATAATGGATAACACAATGATTACTGTAATATATGCTTCATATTATTACCAGCGGTTACATCATTTTATTTAGGCTTATAAGAGAAAAGTTTTTTAAAAACATTGCAAAATTTGCAAGGTTTTCTACATCCTTTCTATACACTTTACTCTCCTTGCCTTAACTAGTCTGATTTCTCGATTTACACAACCACTAGTTTTAGCTTATCTACCAGAAACCTAAGTGATGACCTAGCACGTTAGTGACGTTAACCACTTGCTCCTCAAGTGCTTGAGTTCTCTGCTCAAGACTTCCCGTGCGTTCTTCATTTCTTGAGGTTTGATTGTAGAGCTCCAACTCTGCAATCCTTACATCGTGAGTAATCATGTCGTTATAAGCGAAATTTATATGATGATGGACATCCATCACCGATTCCTGATCTCGCGTCCTTTGTCCTTCTAGCCTTCGTACTCTTCCAGAGAGATGAGTAGCCCTTCCTTCGACAATTTCCATCTTATCTTCAATTTTCACACTTTTCTCAAATAATTGAGATAAAGTGTTAACTTCAGAAGAATGTGGGAGATGTGGTCGAGATGATTGACCAGTCTCATACATCTTAGCAGCTCTTTCTTCCGCCATCCACCTATCAAAGGTTTGTGCGATCCGTGTAGGTTCATCTTGAACTCTATGACTTCTTGAAGATGTCGCCTTCTGATTCTTCTTAATCTTTTGCCATATCGGTATGGATTTACATGCCGTGTGTTTCATTTTTGCTCCTCCTGGAACTTGAAGGTAAAGAGTGTTCAGTGGTGGTAAAGATGATGCCACCGATTTTGTCTTCTCCATTGATTCGCTTTCTTCCATTGGTTCACTCTCTTCCCATTCGTTGGAGGGTAAAGGTTCTCCATCATCAGAAGGTATTGGATGAAAGGTGGTTGGATTTATAGGGTAGTAAGGATCACCTACCATCATAGGGAATGAAAATTCCTCTTCTTCATCCGTATCCTCGATGATTATCCATTCTCGTGAATGTGCCATGTCGAATTCCTATACATTTTGGATCACCAAGAGTTTAGTCTATCAAATATTACTCCCAAATTAAATAGTTCATATGATCTGATCATAATAAAATGTAGTTGCGCACCTACACCTAATTGTGATAGGATATACGCACATATAAACTTTAGTTGGAATATTTGATCTAAATCCTTGAGATCAAAAACATTCCGGGTATTAAGGTGTATTCTCATCGTGGGTCTGAGTCTTTATATATGACTCTATATTCTTATTTATTGTATTCACGCTTTAACTATTGTTTGTTACTTCAGGTCTATCTGATAAGGCTCCGGCCAGTCAGGACAGTCGAAAGGGCAGGATCATTTTAGCATATAGCCGTTCTGAAATCCAGCAACCCAAATCGACATGTCTATCCTTGTCACCGCTCCCGTAAGTAGTCCTTAAGTAGAATAATTATTAATAATTTTTATTTGTATGCTAAGGGATATACCTAAACCTAATAGAGTAAGCCCTAAACTATAGACGTGCTTTCCTAAGAAAGTACTAGTTCACTATAGTTAATAGCTCTGATACCAATTCTGTCACACCCCCAGCCATCGGCGGAAACACCGGGTGGTGTAACGTCATTCTTCGTATCACAGTTATATAACATACATTGAACAGTACTAAAGAAAATACATACCTTTATTGATATTTTAAAGTTACATAACTGTTTTTCTAGAACCTATTACATAATATCCGACTGTGGCATACTTCTTAATGAACAGAAAGGTAATAGTAAAACTTCTTCTGTTCGAATACATACCAGCTTTTCAAGTTCCTGAAAAAACATGCATTTTAAAATACGTCAACATAAAGTTGGTGAGTCCACAGGTTTTTGACTCCATAAAATAATACATTTTCCACGTTCAAAATATAGTTTTGAAAGTATCATTTTGACTCTCCAACATTTAGTATGTATATTAGGTATAATAGTTTACTTATCAATTAAGTGTTAACCTAAACATTCCTTGAGCCTAAG